TGGCAAATCCATCCCACTCCATCACCCCAGCAAACTTCTGAATAACGAAGATGAAAATGACAAAATCAAGTTTTTGTGTATTAAGCATATGTGAATTTTTGTCAATCCTCCATTTTACTTAAGCTGTGACAATAGTGTCTTATAGCACTTAGTCAAGTATAGCAATAAGAAAAATATACAAGGCCTCCCCAGGTGGTGCAGTGGGTTGAGCGCAGCGCTGTGAAGCTGTCTGTAGCCTCCGTGGCACTGGTTCGATTCCTGCCCCAGCCGGGGAGATTCCCACATGGAGCGACAGACCCCTCCTGTCTGGCCCGTTTCGGTCCTTCTGCCTATTCTGCTCCCTGCTCTGTCTCTGGTGGATTCTCTCACCCTCCTGTGCCTCTGGCCTGTACCCCAGTTCTTATATAAATAAATAAATCTTAAAAAAAATACGCAAGACAAAGAAAGTCACGGTACTTTACCCTAAGGTTCCTCACTTAGTTCAATGCAGATAATTAGTGTATAAAATTCATAGTCTGTACACAATTCATTTAATTTGGTAGAATATTCATATTTTGAAGTGTATTACCTTATTTCCTACTCAGGAATCCATCATAGGATTTAAAAAAAGTCAATTCCTTCATGTGTATTTAAGATGATCTCACTTACATACAGATTTTTAAGAACTGTATCAGGTTTAAATAGAATGATAATTTGAATAGCTACTTTGTCCAATTCTGCTTAAATAAATTCTCCTGCCTGAAATATCTATGCATCAGTTTGAGAGGTAGCTGGAGTGAAGTACAGATAGACTGTCCCTACTGTCCTAATTCCTGAAACAATTCCCAATTTTCCCTTCACGATGTGCTGGAAAACTTGGTGAAAGAAAAGACAGTATCATAGAAAAATTGTCCTGGAGGTACTCTTCAGCATCTCCCCAATAAAAAATCTTCCAGCAACTTGCAAATTTACATTCCAAAACCCAGTGACACAACTACCAATAGGATTGCATTCCACCTCAATCTTTGTCTTTTTCTTTAAACAAGGAAACTTTAAGTTAATTGGGGGATTATTGAAAGTCTCCTTGCAAATCCATGAAAGCCACATCACAGACTATACAGAAAACAGAGCTCTATGAACAGTACAATAGAGCCAACTCATCTTTCTGAAAAGCTCAGCATCAGCCTCAGAGAGGACTTAAATTGCTCCAGTTCCAAAATCTCTTAAAACTTAATAAGATGATGCTTATGCCACTATGTCTACAGCACACACATACTCAGAGGCAAGTTTACTCTGCAGAGAGGAGCTATGTTGAAAATCAGAAATTAACCCTGAGGTTGAATTAAATAATGCCTTTTCCAAACTATTAAAGTAGATTATATACTCATTCTGAAATATTTTAATCTCACTGACATATCTGAAGCAAGTACCTTTAAAATAAAACACCCTGGGCCTCCCTGGTGATGCAGCAGTTGAGCGCTGGGCAGTGCCAGTTCAATCCCCGGCCGCTGAGGAGGGTCCCACATGGTGCGCAGACCTCTCCTGCCACGCCCACTGCTCTCCTCAGCAGCGTATTTCATCAGTCTGCCTGTTCTGTTCCCCGCTCTAGCTCTGGTGAATTCTCTCACCCTCCCATGCTCTGACTGTACACAGTGCTTGTATAAATAAATAAATAAATAAGTCTTTAAATAAATAAAATAAAACACCCAGATAAATATCAAGGACCCAAATAAAGTAGAATCATAGAATAATATCTAGCAAAAAAAAGTCAAATATAAATTAAAAGTATACTGAAGATCTCTTCAGAGTTTAATATTCTGTTAATTGCAAAAAAAACAAAAAAAAAAACAAAAAAAAAACATGGTTACTAGAAAAATCACTAGGGAGTGAGTTATTGAAAACTTTTAACTATGATACAACCAACAATACTCAAAATGAAAAATTTTACCAGCACTCCTAAGCTGCACCACCCTAGGTGCTACAAAGCAGTCATCCCTGTAAATGGCGCCCCCTGGAGTTGTGCTCAAGTATCTCCCACAGAAAACAATGTGATTGCCACCTCTTGCAGCTGAACAAGTGGTTCTATCCAGATAATGCAAAAGGCACACTGGATTCTTGATTGTCTTCAAATTATCGTTGTAAAACTTTAGTTATCATTTTAGGGTATGTAAAATGTTCATATATTGAATCTGTTTTGAATTCTGGAGTCTACAAGTTAATTTCCTAAATGGAATGAGCTGATTGTAAATTTGTATTTGGAATAAGCACTTTCTAAAACAGGCTAAATACACTGAAATTAGATCCTCTCTAGTGTTTCAATCCATGTAGATGGAAATACATGTTCAACTGAAAAGGCTTATTTATATATTTTTTACTGGTGGCCAAGTGTTAAACCTCCTGCTTCTCTAGCAGTAGTTTCTATTGTATATGGGTTAAGTCTTCAATCTCAGTAAGTACATTACAGACTTCAGTTCTAATCAAGGAAAGAAAACTACTTCATTATGCCCAAAAAGGAAAAAATAGAGGTGAAAGACACCTGCAGTATCAGTATTTTTTTTTAAATAATGGATACTTTGTTTTCACATTAACACATACAAGACTGTGAAGAGCTCAGACCTCCCTGAAAAAGAAAATTACTAGAAAGTTACTTGGAATCACCCACAGAAAATAACTGTTGTTGGGATGGTTTCATTTCAGGCAATGAGCTTGTGCCAAAGGGAATTGACATTGTGATGAAAGGATCACCAAAAAGTTGTGAGAATTTTTCCATGAGTAAAAACCCTTCCACAACAACAAATTGTGATTTCTCATTCCGCCACCATACATAAATGACAACTGTAAGAAATTAGCAACATGTAATGATAATTTGAATTTGCTCTTCTGTATTCAAATCTTTCCAACTTTCAATCTCTGCATTGGCATACATGCTTGCCTTCCACAAACTTCCCTCCACTCACTGGCTACAGCAACATGATATTTACTCTTTAAGCTTGATTTATAGGGCTTATAATAGCAATCAGTGGTCAAATTTATGTTTAAACAAATTAGTCATTGACATATAACTTACTCTAACTTCACGGTCTGTCTATAGTGACAAGGACGGTAAATTTCTGGGACAAAAAGCTAGCAACAAGGTGATGTGGATAATCACAGTGAAAGACGATTAAAAAAAAGTGCATAGCCTGTTGGTGGGAGTGCAAACTGGTCCAACCACTATGGAGAGCTGTGTGGAGATTTCTGGACCTACTAAACATAGAGCTTCCATATGATCCAGCAATTCCACTCCTAGGTATTTACCCAAAGGACACAGAAACATCAATTCCAAAGAGCACCTGCACTCCTATGTTTATAGCAGCTCTGTTTACAATAGCTAAGCTTTGGAAACAACCCAAATGCCCAAAAATAGATGACTGGATCAAGAAGATGTGGTACATATATACCATGGAATATTACTCAGCATTCAAAAAAGATAAACACATCCAATTTGCAGCAACATGGATGGCACTGGAAGGGATCATGCTCAGCGAAATAAGCCAAAAAGAAAAAGAAAAATACCGGATGGTCTCACTCATAGCAGGAATCTAGAAAACTTAAATAAGGGACCAGGAAAATGAATATAAGAAAGTGAAAATCAAAATCAACAAAAAACTATGAACCAGAGACACTTTTTGGGAGGTGGGGGGCGGGAGGGGAAGGATTGGGGTCAGAATGGGGCGTTTGCAATTGTATGGGGGAATATAAAAATAAAATTTAATATTTAAAAAAAAAATAAAATAAATAAATAAATCTTTGACAAAAAAAAAAAAAAAGTGCATAGCAATTTATTTTATTAACACCTAGTACTCTGACAATGCTAATGTGGAATTTAATATGAAGATAAGAACCATTTACACAAAATCCACTGATTAGTTTGTGTTCCTCTCTTTTCCCTTCTGCCTTAAATTTCTTAATTTTGTCAATGTCCAAGCAAGGGCTATTTGGGGGATGGGGGGTATTCTGACATCCACCTGTTGAAATGACAGGTGAAGCATACACAACAAGAGCTTACTTGTTAATAAAACTCAAACTGAACTCATTTAATTGCCTCTGATTCATTCTTCATCTGGGAAATTTAATCTTGGGTTATTCTCAAAGAAAAACATCAAGCATATCAGATTCACTTTTGATTCATTAAATTCCACCCTCATTTAAAAGGAAAAAAAAACCTAAATTTGGAAATCACACATTCTAAGTGGCAAAATGGTGTTTTAAAGAGTATAAACATCTGCAGTAGGACATGCTGTACTTAACTACAAAGTTTTCTGACATTTCTGTTTTTTTTTTTTTTTCCCCAGTTCAATTAATTTCCAAAGAGGGAAATTTTCACAGAAGATGACTATACCTATTCAGCTGTTCTCAACCTGTATTTCATCTATTTCTTTATTTAATCGGTCATCAAACATTAAACTGCCTTCTCTGTGGATCATGCTTTGCAGAAATAATTACTTTCATCTAGAGGGTAGCATGTTTGACATCTAAAACTGAGCAGATGTTTCTCATAAATGAATCTATAAATAAAAAAAATAACTAATTCATTTTGAGATGCAATGGACAGAGCATAGTAATATAGAAGTTCATGATCTTCATACATACTGAATTTTAAGGATATCAGCTAGTGTATCTGCTACTTTTTGGATTAGCTCTAGCTATCTCTAAGAGCTTTGTTTCAATCCTTCTGCTGTTACCTTTTCCATGCATGTTCTTCTTAAAAAACAAAATGCTTTCTGCAGTTCTAGTTAAATAAATCTTGACTTCTGAGAGAGGAAATTCAGTTTCCTATTAAAAATGATTGAAAATCAAAAACATCCATTTCACTACATCAGTTCATATAAATTGCTGTACTGCAAAGCTCCCACACGCTAGAGTCAGCTTTTAAAGGTCATATGGGGTAGGAACAATGTAGGGCTGGAGGTGGGTGGTTGATATTTATGTGTAAAAAAGATTGATAAGTGACTGTGAATCTCCTTGTTGACAAGTCTTACCATTTTGAGAATCATAACAGTCTTGGCCTTCCACCCTCCCTCTTCAGTCCAGGGAGACCAACCTGCAAAATACATTTAAATACAATAGAAAATTCACCTCCCCACAGGTTAACAAATGAAAAAAAAAATATTTTTTTAGAGGTTATAGACAAATAATAATTTTCTGTCCTTAAGATAAGTTACATGCAAATTATTGTAACCACTGGATATTCTAAAAGAGCTCTCCAAGCAGTCTACAGGCTTAAATAGGGGACAAAGGAATCCCTGATACCTGACTTCAGAGAGTCTTGGGCTATTCTTAGTGTTTGACTCATCTTTAAATTGAAGGAGTTCAAAGGGTTTAGCCACTTATAAGTAGACCCAAGTTATAAAAATAGATTGTTTTCTGGCTGCTCTTTGTTCCCAGACATACTACTGGCAGTATATTTGCAATCAAGACAGCAGAATAGGAATCAGCCTTCCTCCATGTGTAATGCCTCAGAGTGGATATTTTTGGAAATGGCACTGCATTACATAACCTTCTCTGTTTAAAAAAAAAAAAAAAAACCAAAAAACACTACACTGGAGGGGGGAAGTCAGGAATATACACCATTATGCTTTTTCTCTCCAAACCAAATAAACATTATGTACATGCTGCAGTGATTTTTCTCTTAACCTTCATGGTATCCAAACACAGTTCTTTTGTCTAAGTTATGACAAAAATTAAGATGAGTGGAGAAGCTAAAAGTTCTTCATAGGGATATCATAAGCTCTTAAGAGTTTTCCTATATTGCTATTAAATATATATGTATATATGTGTAAATCAGATTATGATTAAGAAGCAAAAAGCAGTCATTTCTTGTTAAGCCTGCCCTCCCCCAAAGTTCATCTCCTTTATAAGAAAATGAAGAAATAAAGTGTTGCAAGATCAGAGGCAAAGCCTGAGAAGACCTTTAGTAGTACCGGCAGCGCTGAAAGAGTAATAAAGTGTGAGGTTGCAGGGACAAAAATTCATTTTACACCAGGGGAAGAGGGTTGCATGCACCAAAGTGCATCTAATGCAAAGAAACAAAACAGTTCCCAACAATGCTTTATGGGCAAGAAGAACAAAAAATTAACTACCCTAACAAACAAAAAACCCCACCCCTTCCCCAAAGAATTCTCCCTCTTAACTTGTGCATTTTACAAAAAGCCCAGCTTTAATGCAGCAAGACCAAAATGTCAGAATTCGTTCAAGGTACACGCTTCAGTTCTTTAAAATTTAGAGGTAAGCAGCATGCACTCTGCAGGGTTGAAGAGTCCAGCTACCAGCAACGGCAAGGAATCGACACAAAAGAGAAAGCAGCGCTCCCGGCCGGGGATGGGAATGGCATATACTTACAGACAAAAGCCCGCTCCCAGCTCACTCTCTCCTTTCTACACCTGAAACACAAATGTGGATGAAAAAGGGCATCATGCTAGAAAGACAGCTGGGGGGAGGGGGATAAAAGGGGGAGGGGAAAGGGGTGGAGGAAGAGGAGGGAGGAGGGAGAAGGGAAACAAAACCCAAACCGGCTGCACTTCCAAGAAGTGCAGCCTTGAAAAGGGAGGGGAAGGTCTCCCAGCCTCGCGCTCTTGCTCCAACAGTACGAGTGTGAGTGTGAGTGTGAGTGTGTGTGCGCGCGCTGAGTCTTTCTATAAGATTATCTCTCTGCCTCTCTCCCTGTCTCTGTCTCTCCACGGCTAGTGTGCCAGTGAACAATGAGCTAATTCTCAGGGTGCTGGCACTGTGCCAGCGCCCCCAGCCTTGCTGCCACTGTGCCGCTGCCGCGGAGCCAGACTGCTTACTCGGCAGGAATCGGAGGCTCGGGGCCCCGCTGGCGGGCGGCCAACGCGCGCGCGCTTGGACCCCGACTCGCGACACCCCAGCGCCCAGCGCGCCGCCGCCCACGCAGCGCCCGCGCGCCCCAAGGAGACAAAGGGGACCGCAGACCAGCGCCGCCCCGGCCCCGCCCCCGCCCCGGAGCCGAGCGCGCGCGCGCCCCGACCCGGCCTCTCCCGCCCCCCGCGGGCTTCTCCTCCTCGACGTGCGGTGACTTTTCAGACAAATAAGGAGGTGGAGGAGGCGGTTTGGGGACGCGCCAGGCGTGAAGGCGGCCAGGGCGCTGCACAGACCGGCGGCCCGCCAGGACTCTGGGAGAGGCGGTGCGGCCCGTACTGTAATAATAAACCTGCACCAAAGGGCATCTGAGGGAAAGAGGACGGCGACGGGCGGCAGCTGCCTTCCCTTTTATGTGCCTGTCCAGAGCGCAGCAGAAAATGGTGCCCGCGGCGGCGCGAGACGCACGTGGGCACACAAAGAGCAGGCGCCACCGCATTTACACTCGGCCCGGAGTTGGTCCCACAGCCCCCGCCCGGAACGTAAGCCTTGCTCACCCCCTTCCATTACCCACCTCCCCGCCGCGTGCACCCCGGTTTAGGGAACACGCGAGGCCTGACCCAGAGGCCCTGTGCCCTGTGGTTGCGCGCGCGCGCACACTCCGGTGCACACATCCGAGCGCATGCACACAGTTGCACGCGCGTACTTGGATCCAAGCACATACACAAGAGCTGTGACCTGGGGTCATTGTCCTGGTTCTCCCTTCTTATAGGAGGATATACATGTGTCTCACTCTTTGACCTACTGAAAATGTACTTTTTAAATTTGGAGACCAGTTTGAAAAAGTAAAGTGTTTGCATTTTTGATATTTTACAAAGCTCGTTGACAATCTGATGGTTTTCAAAGTGATCAATAGCAAAAATTTTGCTGCAAATGCGAACCGGTTTTGTTGTCAATAAAATAGAATGTAATTTTATGGTAAATATCAGTTGTTAAAATGGAAGATTATTTTCTAATTAAGTTGCTTTGCCAAAAAATTAAAAAAAAAGATAGAAAGATTCCTAGTGCCTTCTACATTTGCCATCCACATTTTATTACAGGCCATAACCCAAAAGAGTGGTCTTTTGCCTTCTAGGAAAAGACTATCCTCCCCATCCCCCACCAGAATGTTAGGTGTAGTTAGACCAGGCAGGGCTTAATTAGAGACTAAAGCATGGAGGGAGAGGTGGCCTGAAGTAGGAGGACAATTTAGCCTGGCCCCTCCAGGGTAGTTAGGAGGAATAGATAAAGGGTAATTCCAGGAGGAAGACTCCAGGAGAGCACCATTATCGCTTGTTCTGGGTCGGGGGACACCAGGTCATGTGCATACATGTTACATTGCAGCTGTGCATGTGGGGTCTCTGCCTTCTCCCTCCAGGAATTTTTGAGATAATGATCAGTCAGGCTCTCACACTTTCTGTCTAGCTGCTGCCTCAGGGTCAGTGTGATGGGCCAAATTGTTTGGACAAAGCTCTTTCCTTCATGATTTAGTTCACCTGTTCAAACAGGCCTCCTCTGGCTATCACACTCCTTTACCTAGGCTGTCTCAGTTTTACTTCTAATCAATCAAAATAATGTCTTCCATTGTAACAGACAAAAAGAAAAGTAAGGGAGGAATTTACAAAATTAAATTCTTAAACATGTTTATAGAATGTACTATTTAGATCTAAATAGTTTTGGATACAGAGACAGTGCATAGTAAAAAGCAAGACTTTATAATTTAATTCTAAGAATAAATTGAATTGTCTATAAGCTTGTTGCCAGGACTATAGATTGCCTTTCACATTACAAAAATTACCAGGGCAGCAAATATTAGACTGCTATTGTGTGTGATGTTTAATGGGACCCAAAATAAAAACTTCCCTCCCTGAATTAATTTGAAATGTAACACTCGTTTTTCTGCAAAAATTTACCTTGAAGCCATTGCTAGTGAAATATTTCTGATGCCTTCAAGGCCACTGTGAATCTATCAGGGGCCAGAAGAAAGAAAATGTGTTTTTGGTTTTTTTTTTGGGGGGAGGGGTGGGGCTAGGGGGTAGCAGACAGAAACTTGAGGACTTCTCTATGTTTGAAGTCCCAAAGGGTAGGTCAGTGGCATCTCATAATTGAGGTCTTTGGCATTCACCTGAGTCAAGCTGAAGAAGAGACCCAAGAAGGCAACCGAAAATCTATCCCAGGGAGATATGTTCAAAAGTTACTTCTGCAGTGCCTCCCTGGTGGTGCAGGATGTTGACCACCACACTATGAAGCTGTCCGCAGCCTCTGCAGCATGGGTTTGATCCCGGCCAGTCAGGAAGAAACCCACATGGCGTGGCAGATCTCTCTTGTCTCACCTGCTGCTCCCCAGCAGTGTATTTTGCTCCATCTGCCTGTTCTGCTCCCTGCTCTGTCTCTGGTGAATCCTCTCACCCTCCCACACACCTGGCCTGTAACCTGTTCTTGTATAAATAAATAATTCTTAAAAAAAAAAAAAAAGTTACCTTTTGCAAAGAACCATCTCCACTCTACACACACACACACACACACACACACACGCACGCACGCACACACACACGCACTGACTGGCATTTATACAAAAGTTATCTAAGAAGTTCTTTCAAAACACAGGGAAAATTGGAATTTTTTTGTATGTTAATTTTTCTTCATTGTAACCACAGACATTAAAGGTTATATAGTTTATTTTTTGAGAAATAACACTGGGTCAGAATCATAGTCTATTTATTGTGTTCCAGAAAACCATTATAATCCAACTATCCAAGAAATATGTGCATCCTTTCTAGATGTGGAGGACTGTGGTAACAACTAGGGACATAACAGAGGCCAAATAATGTCACCGCATCAGGAAATACAGCAGTAGCTCTCTCCCAGTGCCACAGGGTGTCACACTCTGCTACCCTCCCATCTATCTATAAACTGTGTGATAGGCCCACTCTTCTGGAATATCTTTCTAATCCTGGTAACACCTGCTCCATTACAGAGAAAAGATCATACTTAGCATTCTACACAATGTGTGCTTTCTAGCTTTTATCATCCATCTCCTCCCCAGTCCTGGAATCAGTCCTTTGCTTCAGTCTAACTGATACCTAGGATATATATAAATCCCTAGGTTATTAATAATCAGGAAGCAAAAGCCACACAAAACACTTATATCAGGGGTGTCTTAACCTCAGCACTATTTACATCTGGGGTTGGATAATTCTTTGATAGGGCCAAGGCAGAGAGTGGGCATGCAGAAAGGACCCTCCTCTTCATTGTAGGATGTTTAGCAGCATCTCTGGTCTCTATTACAAGGATGCCAATAGCAAACCTCACTTGTGACAGCTAAATATGAGTGTGGACACTGTTCTTGGAGGCACTAACTTGCCCCTGGTAAAGAACCAATGCCTTAAATAGCAGATCCTTTCCTTGTGATAGAAAGAGGGTGACTTCCCATGAGTCATGAGCACTGCATAAAGGAGAGAAAGAGAGCTGAACAAAAGTATTCTTGAAAGGAGAGATTAGGGCCTCCCTGGTGGCTAGGGGTCATGGACAAGTGTGCTTTCCCTTTTGACAAGAGATTGGACTTCACAGAAGTGTAGACTGGATCTGTTCTCATCAAGAGTACATCCATGGGCCTCCCTGGTGTTATAGGGGTTAAGTCTCAGCCCTATGAACCTATCACCAGCCACTGCAGCCTGAGTTTGATCCCCAGCCGGGGAGGTGACCCACATGGTGCAGCTGACCTCTCCTCCCCTCAGCAGTGTATTTCAGTGTATTTCAGCCTGTTCTGTTCCCCACTCTGTCTCTGGTGAATCCTGTCACCCTCCATACTTCTGGCCTGTACCCCAGTTCTTGTATGCATATGTAGTGGCCAGAAGGCATAGATGCAAGATCTCTATGATCTGAGCAGAACAGGAAAGGAGAGGAGTTCTGGACCCCTCAGAGGCGTTTTCAGGCTTTATGTGGGATTTTACCAGGTACAAGGCAGGCAGAGATGCTTGGGGGCCAGGAGGCTATCAGACCTTCCAGCCCCCAGTGAATCTTCAGTCTTTACTGGGCTCCCTCTGGCATTCTCTCATTGTCTCTGCTTCTCTGCTGGTTCTCTTCCAGTCTCTTACTTGTTCTCATTCCAGTCTGTTCCTCCTGGTGTTCCGTGACGCTGCCCTTAAAAGCCCAGTCTCTCAGTCAAGGTGTACCCACCGACACATGCCCACACCCTACCCCAGGAGCCCGCCATCAGGCATGCATTCAGGACTGCAGGGATCCATCATCAATCCTAATGGCGGGAGGGCAAAGAAGTTTGACAATTATATACTGCACAGCATAAATAAATACATCTTTAAAAAAAAATAAAAGGAGAGGAGGTTGTGAATGATCTCCCTATCTACATAGAATTTATAGTTTGGGGTGAGGGAAGTTGAGAAAATCAAAGCCAGAATTGAAGTGTTTTGTGATAAGGACATTTGTGGAATTCTGTATAAGTCACACTGAATCCTTTCTAAATGGCACAAGGAGTTCAAGAAAGTTTCTGAAAAGAAGAGGCTCTTAAGCTGAATTTGTGAAGAATGAATATCAGTCAGCAATTGAAGAAGGAAAGAGACATTTTGGGGAGAGACAGGTGAAACATGAACTAAAAGATTTGATGGATGACTTGTGAGAGTAAGATGATATATGAAAAGAAGACCCCTGTATCAGAACCTGACCCTTGTGCTCTGATCCATATGGAAAAGAATTGTCCATCAGAGGATTTGTAACTAGGCAGGGTTTCTCCCATCTACCTTTGGTATTTCATTCATGAATGTATCTCAATATTTCAATGTATATTCTTGCAATGTTGTTTATTTTTGGTATTTTTCATTGCTTGAAATAGTGAGTTACGTAAATTTGAGTTATAGGTGGAAGGTTGTGAATAAAAGTGGTTAGACCTCTGCAGCGCCGGTTCAATCCCCGGCCACTGGCGAGGGTCCCACATGGCACACAGACCTCTCCTGCCACGTCCACTGCTCCCCTCAGCAGTGTGTTTCGTTAGTCTGCCTGTTCTGTTCCTTGCTTTGGC